GTCGATGCGGTTGTGGGGGCTGTGGAGAAGGGTGCTGCTGGCGGGGTGCAGGGCGAGATGAAGAAGGCGTGGGACGAGTGGTGCCGGAACCACGAGGCGCTGAAGAAGCAGGGCGCGAAGAAATAGAAAAGGGGGAGGCAGGACGTGTGGGGATCATGTGTTTACGGCGTCAGGGTTATGGGAAAAGACTTTGATTTAATAGAAAAAGCGGCCGCGCGGGCTGTCTGATTTTGGTAGAGCATCATAGATTTTTTGATGTCTAGAAGATGTTGTCTACGTTATTTGAAGATTGCAAAGCATCGAGGTGACTTCTGTGAAACTTTCTGCATTGGCATTAACAGTATTATCAACTAATCAATTCCCTCCTTTTTTTACTACCAGGACCGAAAATCACGGGACAAATTATACCCAACATTTCAGACTCACCATCCCAGACCCTTATCCGCGATGGAAGGGCTTACTCGAGGCGCTCTCGGCCAGTCATGCCACGAAGATAATTCCTTAGCTCGTCCCTTTCCTCGATCGAGTAAAGAGGCGAGGACAGCAGACGGCGAGGGGGTGGCAGATACGTAGGAACCAAGATGGTGCTATTCCTTACCATGCGCATGCGGAACGAGCGTTCGTGAAAGTCCCCGTTTGTTCCGTTGTTCTCTACGCCTTGTAATAGAGGCGAGGAGGCCGAAGCTTCAGCGTCTTCGGGGTCTGGGTTGTCAACGTTGAAAATGACGGGGTGCAGGGCAAGGGGATCGTAAGGCAGATTAGCCGAAGCTTTGATGTCGACCTCCGTCGCGATTACAGATTTCGCCTCCATTACATATTCCGCATCTACTACGGCCTCCGTGGATATGTTTCTTGGATGAAGCTGTGTTGGGTCCCGCTGTGGCACCTCCTGGTTGAAAGACTTGCACCTAAACAAGGTTGTTTCCGGCGGGTACTGATAGTGAATCATGGGCAGCGACATCGCGCGTTGTCTCGGGGCATCGGTAGTAATGTGGACGCAGCGGAAGATTGAGACGCACTCTTCGATGAATTCGCGAATGGCGGAGACCATGATGGTAAGTGTATGATGTTGCTGTTGAGTGTTTTGGATCTGTCTTTATGTTCGACTCCCCCAAAAGATGCCAGATATTTATGCTCATACTCTGCAGATCAAAAATTCAAAAAGTCACTTATCATATTTGGTCTCTGAAGAATGTCGCGGCAGCGGGGTGAGAGATATGGCCGCGAGACTGAACAACGCCCTTGTTCAGCGGAGGTCGGGGCCCTTCATAGTTGACCACTCGGCCGAGGACCGGAATCTGTTGGCCCATGTGACAGAGATTTACCCATTATTGGGGCTGCTGTCATGTTATTCTTTGTGAAAGCGTGATCTGCTGAGCGTCGGGCGAGTGAGATTGAGGCCGAGATGACAAAGAAGAAGCAGATACATCTGGGCCTCGACGACTCGGCCGAGGTTTCGTATATGTTGCTGAAGGGTCACTTCAAGAGCCTGGTTGCATGTCGATCAGATCCAACGGCTTCGCGTGAAGCTTTTCAATAGTTCTGCAGTGATTCACTGACGTTTTCCGATTTAGGCAATTCACCACTCAATCGCCGGTCCCGTAGTGGGTCACCGGGCCGGGAGAGGCGTGGGTCCGGGGTCGTCCAGAATGACACGAAAGGAGGGACCCGATATTCAGCTACACAGGCTCTAAATGAGGTAGATAGAGTAAGGTAGTCAAGCCACGCATGAGTAATTGCATGAAATTTGGACATGGATAACTTGCAAGGTGCGTCAACGACGACGCGACCAACCACCCCATCCCACTGGTTTCCTTCCGTCTGCCTCGCTTATCCGAGCGTTTAGTTGACAAAGCAGGTTGACAAAGCAGCGTCAGGAGCGATGAACAATGGGGAAAGGGCACATTCAGAACTCGTCCTCTTCTTTTTCGATTAGTTGGGACCGTAATAATTCTAAATCCGGTCCAACATTATCCCTTCGTGACTTGCTCAAAGCTTTCTTTCTCCATTATGGTTATTGTTGTTTTCCCAAGTTCATGGATGATGAGCCTCACACTCAAAGACTCAACTGCTTCGGGTAGGACGATTGTCGAAGTTTCTTTCAATCCAAGCATACAGGCATTGCTGGTCTATGCCACGGATTGGGCGCCGCCTATATGATAAATTTCATGGGCTGCCAGGTAGATGTCTCCACGACGAACAGTCTTTCCAGATCGCAATAATCACTCTAACATTCGTTGCAACCGGCAGCTTCTTGTATATCTTTACACAGCAAAAACATCGTATAGCTGCGTTAACAGTCATCGTTATCAGAATGTGTATCCAATTATGGCGCAGATATTTCTGCCCCAAAGCACCCGACTTTGGACCTCTGCCAGCAAACGCTTTCACAGTCCCGCACCCCAGGCCAAGCCCCTCCGGCCACCCACACCATCTAGTGAACCAGGAAGAGAACATATTCAGGGAAAATTGGGAGGATCCTCAAGACCAGGTCCCAAATGGCAAGCACATCCACTGGATGGCAAACTGGATCCGCTGCTCCCATAATTATCATCGGCAATGCGAGGAGCTCTCCAACAACATGAAAAAGATCCAGTACATCGGCACCGCATGCCCGTTCTGCAAAGGAGACATCGACGTTCACGTCGAGAGACGAGAAGACGTCTTTGGCGAGTGGAACATACACCCCGAGATCCCGGTGGAAAACGACCCCGACCAGCAGCTGGCCGCTAGGTTCGATGCCTACAAGGAGTATTACATTCTCAGGCTCCTCCTCCTCATGCACAGGATCTTGACGAGTCCTTACCCCATCGCCTCCGAGAGCTTGGAATGGAGCCAGATCATCGACACTTGCTGGCAAGAGACCTTCTGCAAAGTGGTCTTCAGTCATGTTGGACACGCCATGGATGTGTGCGACTGCCCCTCGACCAAGGAGGAGTGGCGCGTCAACCCCGCCATCACGTTGAGAAAGAACGAGGCGGAGTCCGTCCTTGAGGGTATCGACAAGATACCTCGCGGCGAGCGCGAACGATTCTGGATGGGGCGTATCTTCAGATACGACGCAGCCACCAACGTTTACACAGAAGACTGGACAGTCACCGACAGAGCACGACAAATCTACGGCCTGTATCGTGCCAGCGACTTCCCCGAATACCAGATGCAGTACGTCGACGTCGACTTCGACGCCTGTGCCAAACGGTACGACAGGCTCGTAGACCTCGGGGACGACTGCCACGAGGAACTAATCAAACGGGGGCCCCAAGTCTCGCAAAGCTACCCGTACAACAACGCCACCTTCCACACACGAAGGGTCCAGTGGATGGACCTGGACAACTGGCCGTCGGCGCTTCTACGTCGCGAGACGCTCTTGCAGTGGATGTTCATGTTCCTCGCGTACGATGCAGGGCTTGACGAGGAGGTGATGATGTTCCTCGGCGGCGCTCTCCTCGCCATCCTCAACCCCTACCCGTCCATTCGGACAAGGTCGCACCCGTCGCATAAGAAGCCGGAGTGCCTCGACCCGGACCTCGCCGCTTGGGATGTGCTGCAGGAATGCGTCTTCGAGCTCGAGAACCACTGGCCTCTGCTCGCTCGCAGGAGCGAGATCCAGGAGAACCTCTACGACGCCGCACACGAGACGTCGGCCCTGGTGAAGTTGATCAGGCGCAACAGGCGGATCATCGCGAACGATATCAATTCCCGGAACCAGGCGGCCGACCGCGGCGTCAAGGCCTTTGCGGTCAAACCGCAGGAGGCTATCAATCAGGGACAGACGCAGTGCTCGGTGTGTACGGACACGTGGGGCTCGCAGCCGTTCCACCAGCCCGTCAAGATGCCGTGCTGCAAGGCGTTCGTCGGGGCCCGGTGTCTCAAGCAGTGGCTGGCGTCGAGACCGCTTCGCGGGGCCGAAGAGGACGTCTCCGAGGACGATGCTACGTGGGCGCAGGGTTGGAAATGCTTGTTGTGCCGGGCTCCGATAGGCGACAAGTTCCGGCCGAAGCTGCGTGAGCATCAAAGGCTTGGCCCGGAAAATCTTCGAGATCTCGCCTTCAACAACGTGTCGAAGAGTTTCGAGCAGCCATCGTGGTGGTGGGGGAGTAAGCTCTTTGAGCATCAGATGAATGGAGGGCCATCACAATCTTAGAATGGCTTCTCTTTGGAAAACTTAGGAGGGATACTTGGGCGTGGAGGATATTGTTTGGGTTTTTTGTTCGCTATACAGACCATGAGAAATATTTTGGGGCACATCGTGTAAGAGACAGACTATTTGTGCAGGTCGTGAAAACAGTACCGTCGGTGATAATAGGAGTTGAGTACTTGACTGCAGACCATCTCACCGAGCCTCACCTCATTGACCGAGGGACGTTGAGGCACGCCGTTCGGAGGCTTACATAAGACATATAGGCCGCACAATTAAGGGAGCAGATCTGGATCAATCTAGGCCCAAGATGGACTGGTGCGATTCATGAACCCCTGTCCGGAACCTTCTCCTTTGAGTCTCTTTTGCAAACGGGAGTCCCCTGGGCCGCAGCACCAGCAGCAGCCGACCCTTTGCGACTGGCCCCCCGGTTGAAGGCAAAAAAGTTCCCTTGTCCAACGGGAAATTCCATCTCCTTTGAGATCTCCTTGCCCAAGAGACCACATTTCCCATTTGCAAGTCTCGGGAAAATTTTCTTTTCTCTGGGCAGCCAGTTTTCTGCTCTTTAGCATTCGGATTCGCAGGGAGGCAAAGTCTTTTGTCAACCCTTTTGGAGGAAACAGAACAAGAGGACAGAGAGGTAGGTTACGTTCGTTTTGTTTGATTGGTGGTTCCATGCTGTTGTTGTTGCTTCGCTGGCAGCTCCATGCCACATGCTCCCCACGTCCCCATTCGAGAAGCTAAAGCTAATAACACCTGGCATCCTCAGGACTCGACACCGAGACTCTCCCATATTTCGGCCGTCCCCGTGCCGCATCTCGTCGACTCTTTGGCATAGTACGCTGGTTCTGGTTATGCAAGGATGAGGTTCAGCGTGCTGTCTATTGGCCTCTTGGCCCTCCTGTCGCCCTTGACCGCGGCCTGGAGCAAGGAAGGTGAGCAAACAATTGCATCCGCAGACACAAAGCACCATTGTGCGACACAAAAGCTGACAAGAGACACAAATAGATCGGGAGATCTTCCGCATCCGTGATGAGATCAAGGCGCACGAGCCCAATGCAGACGCGACCTTCTACGACCTCCTCGGCGTCAAGAACGGCGCCTCCATCGACGACATCACCAAGGCCTACCGCAAGATCTCCCGCTCCCTCCACCCTGACAAGGTCCGCCAGCAGCTCATCGCCGAGCGTGCCAAGGCCAAGAAGGACAAGAAGAAGAAGCCCGGTGTCAATGTCTCCAAGCCCCCTACCCAGAAGGAGATCAAGGCCGCTGTCAAGATCGCCTCCGACCGCCAGGCCCGTCTCGGTCTCGTGCGCAACATCCTGAGCGGCCCTGACCGCGACCGCTACGACCACTTCCTCCGCAACGGCTTCCCCGCCTGGAAGGGCACCAACTACTACTACAACCGCTACCGCCCCGGTCTTGGCACCGTTCTCTTCGGAGTCTTCCTCGTCGCCGGCGGTGCCTTCCACTACATTGCTCTGTACATGTCATGGAAGCGCCAGAGAGACTTTGTGGAGCGCTACATCAAGTTTGCGCGCAATGCTGCTTGGGGTGACAACCTGAACATTCCCGGTATCGACGATGCTCCCGCCCCTGCGCCCGCCCCGGCTGCTGCCGAAGACGACGAGGACGCGCCCCCCATCCCGAGGAACCGCAAGGAGCGCCGCATGCAAGAGCAGGCCGCTCGCAAAGGCGCCGCTAAGGAGGGCAGGGGCCGTGGCCGCAAGCCCGCCGGCAGCGGCACCGCGACTCCCCGCGAAGCCGCCGTCGCCCAGTCCTCCGGCCCGACTGGAGCCAAGAAGCGTGTTGTTGCTGAGAACGGCAAGATCCTCGTTGTCGACTCCGTCGGCGACGTCTACCTCGAGGAGGAGAACGAGGACGGCGAGGTGGAGCAGTTCCTGCTTGATGTAAGTTCTGATCGCCGCGTGTAGTGTCAAGCTAGAGCTTGACAGGCACAATCTCCGCTACGCAATGGCCCAAATCTCGGGTGATGCTAACTCAAAGAACAATAGCCCAACGAGCTTCCTCAGCCCACCATCCACGACACCGCGCTCGTCCGCCTCCCCGTCTGGGCCTACAACCGCACCGTGGGCCGCGCTCTCAACAAGGAGACCGAGGAGGTCGCACTCGAGACTGAGGAGTTCGACTCGGACGACGGCAACGCCCAGCACACTCCCAGCTCCGACTCAACCGCTGACGACTTTGAACTTCTGGAAAAGTCGACCGACTCCCTTGGTAAGGCCAAGGCTAGCGGCGCGCAGACCGGTAAGGCCAACAAGCGCAAGAACAAGAAGAGGTGATGGGGGCGCCTGGGGAAGACGGAGGGGAAAGCATGACAAGCCTTTCTCCTGTTGCGCATCGTCGCCAAGGCCGTGACAGCTCGTGTGGCTCCACGATTGGCCGCGGAAGGCCCAGACACACGACGGAAAGTTGCATGACGCATCACGAAAGCTGTTGATCTTTTGCTCTCTGTCGCGCGCGTACAGATACACGTAGACCATCCATCAATGCATATTTGTTTAACGCAAGGCCCGTTCCTGGCCCCCTTCATGCGCGTGATGGCACCAGTTTCGCATGGCTACTACTGCGAGTGCTTGGACTGACAGGAAGCAGAGAACTCGGGGCAATCCTTTCCGCAGTTCCGTGCTGCGGCGACACTGACCTTGCGGGTTTCGGATCGGCGTTTAGACCCAGCCCGGCGGGTGCAACTTCCATTCCAAGTTGTCTGGCCGTGATCACAACTGCGTGAGACCGTTTCCTGCCTCCTCTGCACCTCTCAAACTATGTTTCGTCCCTTCCCTTGCTGTACTGAAATCCAAAGACTCTCGTATTGCATAGCGCGTGCAGCAGGTGTCGCAGGGCGGTTCATCCCCCTCTTCTTCACACGTTTTGATGAACTCTACCAGGGATCAAGATCGACGTCAGATAAACATGGCATCGACCGATGGACAGCTCCGTCCCACCGGAAAGGCAGAAAAAAAAACCCAGATTCAATTCAAGCTTCATTCACAGCCCGGCTTGCATCATCAGCTCACTCTCTTATCATACTCGAGCGAATAGAAACACCGTCTTTCAAGTATCGCCCTGAAACAAGGCACTGGAAAAAGGGGAAACGTCTCTTAGCTGATTCCAAAAACAGACCAGCCGTTCCTGGCGTTATACCCAAAAGAAACAAAACGCAACGCCAAGCGAGCCCCCGCCTTGGAGTCGATCTTCCCTCTTTCCCTGCAAAGGAGAAGGAGGCTTGAGCGTAAACAAGAGAGTCGGAACGATCCAGGCACAGCAACCAGCCCACCGCTCGAGCCGCATGGTCGCCCGGGTCCCAAAGGCTCCGCGGTAGACCTGATCCAGTTTACCTGACGCTTCTCTGTTGGGGGTCGTGTTTTTTTCTTCGAGCTACTGCGGTGCTTTAGCGTCTGTTCGCCGACGTCGTCAACCACGCCAACTCGACCGCTAGCCAGAAAACCCTATCTCACTCGAGCTGCGCAACCTGCGCTACTCGCCCATCCTCATTGGCGGGGATGTGGTGCTGTTCTTGTGCCTGGGAATAAGGCACCAGGGGCGCACGCGGAACAGAGCGATGGAGGTGGGATGGGTGAAAGGAGACGTAGCTACGTCCTTTCTCCTTCTCCAAAACACGCCTGGATGCAGCCCTCAGAGGCATCTCAAGGCTATTGGGCGCGTCACTCTCATAGACTTCGCGACCTGACTCCCGCCCACACTCATACACCACGAGTGTGATGTTTCTTCAAGTGAAGCGGAAGGGTGGGCGTCGGAAATTGTGGACAGCTCCTGGTGGACGAGCGAACAACAGATACCCGCCCCGCCATCATTCACGTCCAACTCGTATGGATGTATGGATACCACCGTCACCCAAAGCCGGAGGCGTTCCCCGGCTCTGGCGTCCCGGGAATGGACTGGTGGCTATTCTTACCTGCTGCCACGGCTCAATCGAGATATCAGACCTAACGTACCCCTAAATCTGGTTCCCTCCCAACCGAAGACCCGAGCGTGGCTAGACTCACGCTTATGCTTGCTGGCTCGTTCACTCTCTCACTCTCTCTTACACACGTCGTTTATGATATGTATACCCAGTGGTAGCCACCCCAGACCCTGACAGGTCCCATCTTCTCCTACCCCATCTCCCGTTTCTCCATCGCCCCCCCGGCATCGTCCCGCCCACCCGGATCACACACTGCACATCACGTTCCGCCCGTCGCCTTAATCCCGACGATCATAAGCCAAAACCCCGTCAATATGTCCAGGTGAAAAGAAGAGCAAGCACAAGAAAAGCAGACGACAGAAGGACGAGAGAAAGAGAGAGGGGAAGACGGAACAGTGGATGACACAGGCAGAATGGAGGATCGCAGCGGGCAAGTGCTGGCCGTCGCGGTCCTCTTCTTTGTGCTGTGCTGGAGCGTCGTCGGCCTGCGCATATACTGTCGAGGATGGATCATACGCTCCTTTGGCGTCGACGACAAGTTGATGATTGGGCTCATGGTAGGAAGCCAAAACTTATTGCTTACAACTCCTGACATGTGACTGACACCGCTTACAGCTCTTATTCACCGTCTACCTGATAATGCAAATACAAGGCGTCCGTTATGGCACAGGACGACACAGGGCAGATCTTACGGAAGAAGCCAACCGTGATGCCCTCATGGTAACCCCTCTCCCCGTTTCACCCTCCGAGAAACCCACCTCACTAACAACCAACACAGTACTGGTACATTTGCGAACTCCTCTACATAATCTCGACCTGCCTCCTTAAAATCTCCGTCGGCTACTTCCTCCTCCGCGTCTCCATCCGCCGCTCCCACGTCTGGATTCTGCGCGTGCTCATGCTCGGCACCGTTCTCTTCGGCACGACCTATTTCTTCATGGTCACGTTCCAGTGCGTCCCCGTAAACACCTTCTGGGAGGAATCCCCCCGCGTGCAAGGGAAGTGCTTCAACGACCGCGTCGTCGTCATCATGACCCTGACGGCGTCCATCATCAACTGCCTCGCCGACTGGTCCTTCGGCATCCTCCCGCTCTTCATCGTCTGGTCCCTCTCCCTCCCCAAGCGCACCCGCCTCCTCGCCTTCGCCATCCTCTCCTTCGCGGCCATCGGCTCCGCCGCAACCGTCGTTAGGTCCGTCTACATTCCCACCCTCCTCAACGGCGACGACTTCCTCTGGGCGACCACCGACGTCGCCCTCTGGAGCACCGTCGAGCCCGGCATCGGCATCACCGCCGCCTCCCTCGCCACTCTCCGCCCTCTCTGGCAACTCGTCTGGTACCGCGCCGGCCTCAAGTCCCAGGCCCCCCGCGCCGTAGCCTGGCGCGAGCGTTTGCAGGGCAAGCCGTCCTACGTCCGCAGCGACGAATCCGGCGGCCGCGCACGACAAGCTCGCTTCCGCCTCTCGGATGTAGACGCACCCCTGGAAGAAATCGAAGCCAACATCCAGGCCGAGATCCAAGCTGAGTTCGACGCGGCCGAGCTCCCTCGCATACACCACCCCGGCGACGACGCGGCAACATCGACAGCCCCGTCAAGACGCAGCGGACTGAGCAAGACGTTCGACTTGTCGTACCCCCGGAGACGCAGCGACGAGGAGGACGGCGAAGGGCTCGTGACGCCCAGGGAAGACGGCGCGGGCGGGCACTACCTCGCCCCGACGCCGACCCGCGAGGTACTACATCTCCCTAACCAAGCAACGCTCGAAGCACTCCATGCTAACAACCCGCAGACGCACGAAGAGCCCTCCGACCTCGAAGACGGCCTCCACCTCTCCCCCATGGTCCCCTCCACCGCCCCGACCCTCAACTGGGTCTCGCCGCGCATGTCCGCCCTCTCGATGGGCTTCACGCCGCCCGGCAACAACCCCAACGCCCGCGACTCGATGCAGTCCTCAACAACATGGGGCGGCTTCAACAACAACGACCCGCGCGCGAGCCGCATCTCCAGCCTCACGACCGCAACCACCGGCGTCGCCGTCACAAACACCTACACCGGCCGCGACAGCGTCAGCCACATCGACACGTACCGCGACAGCCGCACGACGGCGCGCAACAGCCGCTACGACCGGTACAGCCGCGCGACGCGCACGAGCAGCTACCACAGCCGCTTCCTCGCGCCGCCGTCGCCGGGAGATGTGCCGCTGCCGAGTCCCCCGCCGCCTGTGTGGCAGGTCAACGTGCCCGGCGGCATGGACTCGGCGCAGTGGCTGTCGAGCAGGATGACGGAGCACCCTGGGAATCCAGGCGGGCGGATTTGATTGTTGGGATGAAAAGCATTAGTACAAAAACACTTAATCGATCATGGACCATATCATATACCCGGCGTATACAGCGAGATACCACTTGACGAAAACATTTTTTAGTATTCAACCAAAAACATTGGGCATAATGGGATGAGGATTGTTGTTATTACTGGGGCCGAAAAGGAAGCCATTGGAAAAAGGGGGCTCACAAGTTGAAGTCTGACGACTGTGGATACGAAAGGGGGAGATCATGGGATGGCAACATCATTTTACGTGGTTGAATAGAGCATATATGCTTGCCGAATGAAAACACATTTAGCAACTTACCGACTTCGAGTGCAATACGTGAGTGTCAAGGCGGTACCTCTGGGTATTGCCTACGTCAAGCGCGTGAATTCCGTCGAGTACCCCTTTCATGCCCATCCTCATCGTTCGTTTCTTTCCTACACATACCTCTGCAGGCCTATCCTTTTTGTCCCCATCACTGGCATCATCATGTTCATCACTGTCATATTCGTCCCGCCTGTCTTCAAGCTCGTCGCCCCATGAAACGTAACGTAAGATAATTGAATTGATTTTCTCGCTATTCATTCCTCATGCCTTCCCAATGGTATACGTTCAATGCCTATTCATAACGGAGCCAACAAAAGTGAAAAGGTCTCCAAAGGCGTGCCAAAATCGCGACTCTTCCATCCGTTCCTGTTCCTTCATGCAGTCTAACTGGTATCTGCTGCCGGTGTATGCCTTCGCTGCCATGCTGACGAATGCTTAATAATAATATGTACGCAGCTCATTAAATCTCCATCGCCTCCATGTTGCCTCCCCATGCCTGGTAGGCACCGTACTGGTTCTCCATCTGCATCTGCTGCTCCCGGGCCCAGTCGTCGCCGAAGCCCTTGTACACGGGGTCGGTGGCCGGCTTGTACGACGAGCCGACGGCGGAGCCGTAGTGAGAGTAGTTGTTGCCCGAAGAGCGGAGAAGCTCGGCTTGTTCGCGCTCACGCTGCTCCTGTGCTTGCTGCTCCCGAGCGCGCTGTTCGCGCTCTTGCTCACGGCGCATCATCTCCTCGTAGCCGGACATCATGTAGGGCTCGACGTGGTGGGAGATGGAGCTTGCGAGCCAGCGACTGTCGTCGGCCTGGATCTGGGTTCCGTCGAGGCTCATGACTTGCTGCTGCTGCTGCTGCTGCTGCTGCCTCTCAGCCTCCATACGCTCGTACCGCATGCGAGCCAGCTGCTCCTCTTGCTCAAGGGTGGTGCTGGTCCATGCCAGGGTGGGGTTGTCGTTGCTCGAGGTAGGCGGGGCCTCGCGCCAGAGCTCGATCAGACGGAGCTGGTGGGGTTCCTCGGAGATTCGGAAGAGCTGGAACTGGGCGGGGGAGAGAACGGAAGTGTCGACGCCATGTTGGGCGAGGACCAACTCGGGGGTGATCTGCTCAGTCTGAGGAGGTTCAGAGGAAGGGCGCTGGACCTCGTGCTGAGGTTCTTGTTGCTGCTGGCGCACGATGTGGGCGTTGGGGGTGTAGTGCTGGGAGATGGAGTAGATAATGGGGGCCGGTGCGGCATTGGCGGGGGCGGGGTCTGGGGACTGCTGCTTGAGCTCCTCCTCAACCTTAAGAGGGGCCGGGCTCTGAACCTCGGGGTTGAAGGTCAGGTTGCGGGAAAAGAGAGTTGCAAGGTCGTCTTGGACCTGCATGGAGGGCTGGAAGGAAACCATCTTCCTATGAGTTTGTTAGCAAATATTCTTCGTGAAACTTGTGCAAGACGTGATGTTGCTGCTGTTGTTGATCATCTCCGACAAAACCCCGGCGGGGCTCCGAAAGCGGGACCGGGGCGTTTGATCGGACGGCGCCGGAGTTGGCTCGTGGGAGCAAGACTTGCCTTGTTGGGAGTTGCGAAATTGGCGGAGAAGCCAGAAATGAAGGCCGTTCGGTGTGAAACTGTTTGCTGTAGAGGTAAAAATGTAGGCGAAATATGAAGACAGTAAATAGCTGTCTTTTGGCTTGTTCTTCCTTCTTCTTCTTGGGGTGCTCGGCTCGGGGTGGCTTGAGACAGCGTCTGGTGGGAAAACAAAACTGTTTATATTGGCTATGCTATTTACTCGAGGGAAATCGATTTTTTCAGGAGACGAATATTCGTAGTGATAAGAAAGCGAACAGAAGACTCGGTAGACGAAAGAAAAGTGGTCTTGAAAAGCAACGGTCGGGGGTTTGGTTCGGTCTTGATGTTCCCTTGGGCAGGAAGACAGCAAGCAGGGTTGGGGTTGAAAGGGGGGCGCGGATGCGATGCCAACAGGTCAGCGGTGCAGATGCAGTCAGTGGCCTGGTGGGGTGAGTTTGCAAGAAGTCGAACGTCTCGGCGGCGACGGCGGGATTCGTTCGGTTCGGTAACACGGTCGACGGAACGGGGACAGTTTGTGATTCTTCAGTAGCAATAGCCGGTAATCGTTGAGTTTGCAAAATACAAGAATCTGTAGAATGTTGAGGGCGGTTTGGACTTTATATGGCAAGAAGAGTCATAACCCTTTTCGGACTTGTAGGGAAGGAGGGGAGAGACAAGTGGAGGGCAGGAGGGGGGAGCAGAGGCACTTGGAGGGAGGGACGAGGGACGCCGGGCTGGCCTGGCAGGGGGAAATTAGGAAGGAGGGGCAACTAGCAGGCAAGGTCATGACGCAGGCAGGGCAATGTGACGCAGATTCACAGGCCGTAGCCAGACGGCCCTTCCCTTCATCTTTCCGCTACCAGCAGATACCAGTACGCAGTAAGGTAGAGACGGGCGGGAGGGAAGATGCGCTGAATGAACGCTTTGGCTTTTGGCGGTCGGGTGCCTGACCTGACCTGACCTGACATGACTGACCTGACCTACAGACCGGTGCGGCGTGCCAGGTGCCAGACCGGGGCCAGGCCCGGCGCATACATGGCGCATCCACACATCACCACCTCATCATTCATCATTTATCACCACCAATAGCGCTAACGCCCAATCTGCTGTCCCGTCAGGCCGGAATGCCTGCCTGATGCCCCTGTTTTCCGCCTGTTTGCTGTCCATAATATAGCTCATCCTACCATTTACCGTCCATACCGATATTCACGGCAAGACATGATTGCCAGGCTGCACCGTGAATTTGGTACCTGACCGACTGGAAAAAGATGGAGGCCATGTATGCAGCTAAAGTAACAAGAGCAGGTCCGGCTGGCCAGCCGGCAGGACATGTCGACTTGAAACATACACTCTTCCAGATCCGCGCCTGTCGCCCAATGGATCGGTGACACGACCAGTCAACCCAGCTTCTGGAAGACACGGAGGTATCAAACCAGTTTCCCGTGACACACGCGAGCCCACCCGGCATCATATGCACCCTCTGTACGCTCCCAGACTGCCTTTTGTTCTCTACAGAAAACGATGATGGCATCCCTCAGACTCTGTTCCGAATCGGCCTGCTAAAAGTATATTCTGTCTTTTGCGGCACTTGTTGCTTCCCAAGAACCGGCGCATTTCAGCAACACTTCGTTTGCCTGCTCAACCTTACCACCTGGGCTTTCCCGAGGCCCAGTCCGGTGCGTCCACACCGCTCCTAAAGATCCCCGTCCCAACATGTTTCGCCGGAATCCATCCGGGCCTGGACTCCTGGGATGCCGGACTATCGGTGTCTAGGAAATGCGACAGGCTCATGATGCGAATTTGTCAAGCCCTTCAGCACTGAGCCAGACAGAGCATTCATGTCGAGGTTCTTCAACAGGAAATGAGGATGGAAAGGGGAAGCAGCTTTCGCACTCGTCGCGATGACACCACGACCCGAATACTTGGGTGCCGCACCTCGCGATGTGCCTGCCGTAAAAGAATGCTGAGGTGATGCCCCTCCGTCGCAACCCCTCCATTGCTGCTGGCACCTGCAGCCCACTGCAGGTTCAACCTGCCCGTGAGTGCGGGATGGTGGGGTAGGTGATGATTAAAAATATTGAAATCCCCTGCAGCTTCCATCGTGAACAACGCTGCGGAGCTTATCTAATCTTGAAGTCAAGCCTCAGCTCCAGCCACACGTGGCTGTGGCTGAATTGATTCCTTCACCCCTTCCCAAGCTGCCTCTAGCCACGCCCCAGGCTTCCCTCCCGCTTTCAACCTGAGGCACCCCTACGTCTAGCCTCGCCGTCGACCTCGCGCAGCAACACGCAGCTCTCAGGTTGCCTGAAGCTCAGATCTCAAGGCTCCAGATTCCCCAATTCCATTCAACGTCCCGCATCGTCATCCACCACCACCCGAAAGCGACACGACCGACATCACGACCTGCACCTCACCTCCTCCGATCACGACGGCCGAGTCCCTCCCTACGTATCCACGCCAGCCACATTTCAAATACCCAATCCCCCTCTCTAATTCACAATGGTAAGCTTGCCCTTGCCAGGTCCTGGCCCGGAGCTGGACGACCGGGATGTTGGGAGCTATCACCATCCCGCCACAACGACAACCAGCGCAGCATTCACTAACCAGTCACCCCATGGCAGACGTCGATAGGCACAGGCTACGACCTGAGCAACTCCATCTTCTCCCCCGATGGTCGTAACTTCCAAGTCGAGTATGCCGTGAAGGCAGTCGAGAACGGCGGCACATCCATCGGTATCCGCTGCAAGGAGGGTGTCGTTCTCGCCGTCGAGAAGATCATCACCTCCAAGCTATGGAAGCCCAACGCCAACAAGCGCATTGCCACCATTGACAGACATCTCGGTGTTGTAAGTCCACCCTTGCTTCCGCACCCCTCCGCAAACGCACACGACCCCTCATGCCAGCTCCATTCGTTTCTCATGCACAAACTTGCATATCGGCTAACATCTCCAAGGTCTACTCAGGCATGGTTCCCGACGGCCGCCACTTCGTCGACCGTGCTCGCGAAGAAGCCCGCGGCTGGCGTGATACCTTCAAGACCCCCATCTCCACCGCCGACCTCGCTGCCCGCATGGGCGGCTACCTCCAAGCCTACACCCTCTATTCCTCCGTACGCCCCTTCGGTATCACCGCCATCGTCGGCGGCTTCGACCCCTCCCAAGAGTCTCCCGTCGACGGCGAGGTCGGTTCTGGCCCCAAGGTCGGCGCCGGAGGCAAGGACGAATCCAAGACCCACGGCGGTCCCTTTCTCTACATGATCGAGCCTTCAGGTCTGTACTGGGGCTACTACGGTGCCGCCACCGGCAAGGGCCGTCAGGCTGCCAAGGCCGAGCTTGAGAAGCTCGACCTGGCTGAGGGAGGCCTGACGCTGAAGGAGGCCGTCAAGGAGGCTGCCCGCATCATCTACGTCGCCCACGACGACAACAAGGACAAGGAGTTCGAGCTTGAGATGAGCTGGATCAGTGACGTGAACGGCCCCACCAAGGGCCGTCACGAGGAGGTACCCAAGGAGCTGCGTGAGGAAGCGGAGCGGTTAGCCAAGAAGGCTCTCGAGGGCGATGATGACGATGACGAGGACAAGAAGGATGACGACAAGATGGAAGAGTAACGGAGCGGCTGACGATTAGAGCGAGGAGGTTTATCACGACACAGAGAGACAAATCAAAAAGAGATCTTTCATGCCATGGAGATGCTGCCGTTGACACCGGTGGCGCTTGAAGGACCTTCGTGTACTTGTAAAAATACCATGATGAGGGCTATGGCGGCTGGTTCATAGACTAATCAGACTTGGCTTGGGCATGTTGCTGGTGTTTTTCGGTGATTCTGGAGATGATGAATATTCCCTTGTTCGCCGAGTGGTCTGGGAGCTTGGCAACTTGCTCCCGCTTGGAGCAACGGGCAGTCTTTTGCCCTCAGCCAGGAGGGGTGGACGTCGCGTTCTAGCCCTTCCACGACTCGTGGATGAGGCAAGGCAAGTTTGACATCGAGAAGGGAAAAGCGTCTGTCATCAGGATTGGGGCTTTTCACAAAATTGCAACACGGCGTGCAGAGGTTCGGACGGATTGTGTTGATTCTGAGTCTGACATGCTCACGGTGACCGGGCATGCGCTGAGATCACCCGGAATTCGTAGCGATAAGGAAAGCGGTGGTATCGATGAGATGTGCTGTTGGATGGGGTTATCGTCAGCAATGAACTGATGCTGAGTGCATAGCGACTCAAAGCGAACCAGCAGGTTATACTTCCTATTTACTTAATAACTCCTCTTAGAGACGACAAGAGCAACGACAGGAGCGACGACAAGAACGACGACAAGGACGAGGACGTGGACAACGGAAGCGATGGTGATAGAAGCGATGACGATAGAAGGGATGACGATAGAAGCGATGACGATAGAAGCGATGACGATAGAAGCAATGGAAACGATAACGACAACGACGACGACGATAGGAGTAACGATGACGAGGACAACGAGGGTGAAGTAGACTATAGTCACAGGAAAAATAGCCAGCATAACACAGGAAAAATAGGCGGTCTCTCTACGGTAATCCTAGAGACACTGGACATCTTATGTTTACTCAGACGTGCACGAGCTCACTTTCTTCATCCTACTTCGAGCAACAAGTTCCACGTCACAGTAGAGGCCGTATAACAGAGATGAGCAAAGTAATTTATATGCTTCGAGGCCCGGCAATTCTGAGCGATGCCATTAGTGACCATATGTAGAGTTCCGCCCCCGGCCCCTGTACGCATAATACCATCTGTGAGCAGGGAATCAAGTCCCGATATCCTACATGTGACGCCCCTCCCCCCGACCTGTGACCCAATTTCCAGTCCTGAAAATGCATCCGCTAGGCTACCTGAGTTCACCTCGCTTGAGCCTCCTATCGCTTCTGCCTCTTGGGTGAGTTGTTATCATCTGACGACTCCTCTCTGCCGTGCTTGGCTACAGCGGACACATCGGTGTCCTTCATCAGACCCTCTCCAGCTTCCTCAATAATAGGCTCCAGGCCACTGACGACAGTCTCCTCATCGTCCACCTCCTCAACTTCAAAATCCTCTCCACGCGCCAACTCTTTCCGGATGGCGTCAAGATCTCGGTCAAGCGTCCCAACCTCGCGCATAGTCTCGTGGTCGTAAAATTCGTCAACCTCGTCCTCCTCAGGGCTGGTTGAAGTCGTGGACTCAGACGGAGAATCGGCAGAGACGGTGGCATTAATTGCATTTCGCTCCAGGACACGCTTCTTGGCCTCGCTGCTCCCGGCGACCTCGACCTCGATCGCTGACATTCTTGGCCACAGCAAGGATGGTCTCCTCCGACAGCATTTCCTCCCACGTGCGAGTGTCGGCAAGAAGGTCTCAGCCATGTCAACGAGGTAGTCCTCCCAAGGCGCTATCGTGGAGGCGTATTCCTCCTCCTTCAGCCGCTGTGCCCACACGGCGACGAACGTGTAAAAGTTAGCTCGTCGAATGGTGGTAGGGTCGTGATACATCTCAAGGTCAGACGAGCCGAAAACGGAGTCGGTCCAAGCCATCCGGTTGAAAGACTTGATGGAAGAAGGCGCGAATCAGCTCGTAGACGAAAGCATAGCGTACACCCCCAGGAATGCTTGGGAATGCTGCTCTGGGCGTTGAGCTCCTCTGACCATTTAGCCACGATGGTTCGTTCCATTTAATCTGCATCAGTATGCTATACTTCGAAAGATGTCAATAATCAGGAGTGTATAGTTCAACCAGGCCGGTGACAGAGACGGGGGGTAGAAACGACAGTAGACGACGACGATAAACGACGACGATGGACGGAGACGGAGACGGCGACGGAGACGGGTAGAGACGACAACAGAGACGACGACAGAGACGACGACAGAGACGACGACAGAGACGACGACAGAGACGACGACAGAGACGACGACAGAGACGACGACAGAGATAACGATAGAGATGACGACAGAGATGACGACAGAGACGACGACAGAGACGACGACAGAGACGACAATCTGAGCACTGGGGCGTGATCCCAACTCCTCCAGTGAAATGTTGAAGCGGGCAAAAGCAATTGTAAGTCCGCGATGCGTGTACGCATGCAACATCTCGACACGGCGACGCTAGTTTCGTTAATGGGAACGTGGCGGAAGTTTGGGACCGATTGGTTGCCTCGAGTCGGGTCCCAGACATGTCCAATATCGATATTATTGGTGTACTCAATCACCTTCTTTTTGTTTCCAGATGGCCAGGCATCATCATCGCTAACGTTGGCTCAGGCATCCTTGGTCGTGTCGTCGGGGCTGTCTTGTCCATCGGGGGCAGCATCATCATCAGACTGATCCGGGATTTCTCTGTCATTGAGACTGATCTTCCATGTCGACGTCAGACTCGGTCTTGTTGTCAGTGCCAGCTTCGCTACCAGGCTTCTCGGAAGACAGTGAGACCTGGTCGTCATGGTCGGCGACGAAGGAGGACTTCTTGCTGCCAAGCTGCTCGGGAGACAGCGAGACCTGGTCGTGATCGTCGGCGTCGAAGGAGGACTTCTTGCTACCAGGCTGCTCGGGAGACAGTGAGACCTGGTCGTCATGGTCGGCGTCGAAGGAGGACTTCTTGCTGCCAGGCTGCTCGGGAGACAGGGAGACCTGGTCGTGGTGGTCGGCGTCAGATGCCTCAGAGGCCTTCTTCTTCTCGTTGGCGCGGATGAAATCGGCGACCTCATCATCGTTATCCCCCCACCGGATACCCATCTTCTGCGTGATGATAGGAGCACTCATCTGCGGCTCAAGGTCTGCGTCACCAAGGCTCTCGAGGGCAGATGTAAACGAAGAGACTGAAACGGAGGGGTCAGGCCGGATGGGCTCAGGTTCGCCAAAGGCCGGGCTGGCACTTCGGGCGCGGGCGGGTTCATGAGACTTCATGAAGCCTTCGTGACCGGAGAAGGAAAGAGCGCGGGGTCTCGAGTGTTGAACATCTCGGAGGAAGGTTCTAATCTCGTCATCCGTCTCTCCGAACTGAAAATCATACTTGTACGACACAGTGGGAGACTTCATGAGAGGTTCAAAGTCTGCATTGTCGGCATTCTCCAAGTCTGGTGAGCGTGAATGAGAAACCATGGGAGAGCGAGGATGAACGTAGTCGACATTGCCGAATCGGGGGCCAACGTCCTGAGGCTGATGCATCATGGCCTGATGAAGCTGGTAGCTGGCCCAAGGAGAGGTCACAGGGCGTTCCTGAGAGGGTCCCTCTGTGAGCTGGCTGACACTTCGGGCGCGAGCGGGTTCATCAGACTCCATGAGGCCTTCGTGGCCGGAGAAGGAAAGAGCGCGGGGTCTCAAGTGTTGAACCATGATGTTGATGTAATGGGGGGAGGGTGTCTGTGAGAGTGAAATGGGTAGTGGTCGAGCTTGTTCGTGTGAGCGGCGGAAGTGATTGCGCGTTGATAATTCGCGTTGGGTAGTGAAGAGTTTGGGAATCGAAACAAGAAGATGGATGGTTAGAAGAGAGAGGGAAAAACAAGGTAGGTAAGGTAAGGTAAGGTAGGCGGGAGGAAGAAAGAGGTAAACAAAACCACGGTGGGTGGTGGTCGAGGTGAGGCGGGAAGCGTTTGTAGGTCGGTGGGTGGGTCCAGGCGGGTGGTTGTCGTCAGAAAAATCAGTGATTGGTCGAAGAGTTGAAGAGTAAGATCGTTCTGGCAAGAGCGCTCGAGAACAGCAAGAGAGGGAAGGGGGAAAGGTGAGAATTTTTGTTGTTGTTGGCGGACGAGGCCGAAATCAGGGATGCCTGCGACTGACTTCCCTGCTCCGTGAAAGGCGTGGATCTAAAGGTCGGGAAAGAACGCTGTGCTGCTTCTTTCCTGATGGACACTCCTCCACCTGCAACACAGTACTTCGTGCCGCATATCTATCCTCCAGGGTTCACTATGAACATCGTCAAAGGCGTTTCATAGTGGCACACTGAGCGGAGTGCGTCTTGTCATAGTGTAGACTCTTGCCAAGTCGGTTCTGGGTAGCCGATGGTAGTGTAGATTGCCGTTGCGGATGTTATGACTGACGCTCTTGATGAACTTGTCTTCGCCGCCTTGCTGGACAGGACCGGGTGGGTTGCAGAGCCTGGCGTACGGATCTGCGCACCGGTTCGAGCTTCTTGATGGAGATCTCGAAATCGCATCTGAAGCACAGCGGTGGTTGAGTTTGATTTCGAATGGGCCTTAGCGGTTGCGAGAGAACTTGGTCTAGCTGTCCAGGTGGTATGTTGGGTTTCCCTTTTTCACGAGCTTCATGTAAACGAAGTCGCCTTTCTCGATCTTAGGCGGCGATCTGTGATTGTCGTCGTCGTAGATTTTCATCTCATCAGCGAGATTTGGCAGGCTTCCCATACTTCTTGCTGGATTCGACTTTGTCGTTCGCCGACATTCGTAGGTTGATGTCTCATAGGTGAAAGGAAAGACTTCGCTAGACGACTGAAAAAACGAGTCTCGTATGCGGTCGGGCAAATTGTCTGAGATGACCAGGTTAGCTGTGACTGTGTCGTTCGAGGGCATGGTTGTGACTGGTCCTGGGATTGTGAGGCTGGGTTCCTACCTTGCAGGCTCTCGATCCGCGAGATTGGTCTCCCGCCTCTGAGGTTTTGGATTCGCAAGAGTGACCTCTTGTCTCACAGGTGGTTGGCGGCGGTGCTTGTGCTCTTGTCACGATAAATACTCTTCGCGTGGGTTGTTCCAGGCTGGGTTTCGATGGACTGGCTGGTCGTATCTCGGCTGTCGCAGATCAGGGGACTTGAACGTCGCTGTCTTCATCTTCTGTGATGCCAGTGTAGGGCATAGACAGAACTCAAGAAGTTGTGGCTACGTAGCACTGGACATGGCCCCCACGACAGGCCAGTTGAACCTTCGAGAAATAATCGCGACTCTGCAAAAGGTAAGAGATAGAGTCTCTGACTCAGCTTTTGCCAAGGTTGATAAAAAGAGATGAAGAGTCTGAGAGCCAGCTCACTCACGGGGAGACGTGACAAGCGGATAAGTTGATATGCTTGCGGCTTGGGCGATGTTGAATATGTTCCACGCTGGGCTTCGATGAACTGGCCTGCCGCATCTTGGTTATGGCAGATTGCGTGACTCAAACGTAGGTGTCTTCACCTTCCGTGATGCTAATGTAGGGCAACAGCTCGCTGATAGAGAGACGTGACAGAGCGTATGCGTTTGTGTGCTTGCGGCTCAGGCGATGTTGAATAGTGATGCTGAATATTAAGCCGTGTTAACTTTGAAGAGAGATGGGGAGAATAGCATAAGAAGTGACTTGTGGGCCGCCTTCGCCAATACCGCCGAGCTGGAAAGGCTCGCACTTTTGGATTCTGCGTCTGGAAAAAGAATTTCGGCATGTGTTTTTGGGCAGAGGAGGGAGCTGAACACGTGTCTGGGAATGCCATGCATCGGGTTCCATTGAACGCGTTATGATAAGCGAAGATGGAAGTGTGTGTTGAGTTCGCAGGATGTCCCGTTCGAAACGCAGGCAGGGCGTGATGTATCGGCGTAAGAGGGAAAAGGTTGGTCGTTGTATTTGATTCATTACCTCTTCAACTTCGGCATCCTTCACTTCCGCTTTGTCCAGAATGTGCATCTCCATGACAGATCCGGATGACCTAAGCCTCCATACGTGCACCTTTTGTGCCTGACCTTGCCGGTGATAGCGAGCGATTGCCTGTCTCTCTTCCGCTAAGATCCAAAGAGGTTGGATGAGGACGACGTGGTGGCATGTCGTAAGGCTGATGCCTTGGCCTCCTGCGCCCACTGTGGCGAGAAGGATAGAGCGTTCCTTCTTGTGTTGAAATCTGCGTCGCACATCCTCTCGTTCTTCAGGCGAACGCGTACCATCGAAACGTAACACTTTGGAGTCCCATTCGAATTGCCACTGAAAAAACCTTTCAATAAGGTCCAGTTCGTGCACCCCTTCGGAAAATACCATGAATATCTGGATTAACTTCGTTGCTCGATTCGTCGATTTCCATCTCTTCGATTTGCACCACGATATTCTGAATGGCCTGGAGCCGGGGACTCTTACGGTTCCACAAACCAATCAAGTTCCTTCTCCCACTCCGTATCGAGATGCGAGAGCCAAAGTTGGCGGTTTCTTGCACGACGTGGGTTGTCGTTAAGGTTTGCATCGTCGGGACCGATGACTTCATCTTCCTCGTCGACGTCTCCGACCTCTGGGTTCCATTCTGGATCCTTCTCGCGCTCATCTCACTTCTTCCTCTGTACGGATTGCGCAAACTCACGGAGCAAATCCGGGTTGCGCGCGATCGTCAGCTTGTCGTGGCCCTTCTCGGTGCACCATTCTCCGAACCTCTCCCTTGTCGACCTCATGTCTTTCTCTTGACTTGGGCTTGGACGGTTAAAGATAGGGGAGGTCGCCATCAGTCTTGCACGGGTGGCGTAAGAAAGGGCGGCGCCATGTCCTGTATTCTGGGGTCTTCGCCGACGGCCCCCTCCAGAGATTACCGCGAGACGGTGGAACTGGTGAGCGATCATGGCGATGTCGAGGACCGTTTCGTCTAGGAGTTCGGCCTCGACTGTGTGCTCGACGAGGTCTGGAAGATTCAGGGCCTCGTGAGGGCAGACGATCGTGCATGCGTCGAGAATCTGGGCAAGTCTTCTCAATCGCAATTTCGGCGGCCCTCGCGCCTTTGGGTTGACACTGAGGACTCGCAAAAACGCATTCTCCGTCGCGAAGGGGCATCCGGGCAGAATCTTGAGAATCCCAAAGGCATCGAAGACTCTGTTCTTCATAGGAGTTCCACTGACCAGAAGTTTCGCCCTGGCGTCGAGCGCCGCTGATGCCCTGTTGATGATCGCATGGGGATTTTTCGCTCCGTGTACCTCGTCGAAGATGGCGAAGGGAAAGTGAAGGCCCAGGGATGTCCAACATTCGATGTCGAAGACACAGTTCGTCTGCCATAACCTGGACGATGTTTGTCTTCGGGCTACTGGTCTGCCGAGGATATATAGACCGGATCGGGCTTGTTGAGTGGCGTCTTGCCATTCCAGATACCGGGCGCTCAGGTACTGCGGAGTGATGATGATGAAATCATCTTTGGCCTCAGCCAGCTCGCGCGCTGACATGTCCTTGTCTGTCAAAACAAACACCGACGGGCGATCCACCTACAGGACACTGTCAGTAACTTTCGTTCGATCACATATTTGCCTCACATACCGGCTCGAAGCACGAAAACTGTTCCTCCCAGTGGGGAACGAGCGTTTTCGGCACTATAATCCATACAGGGCCTTGGTAAGGCATTCCCTTCGGTCTCATCGTAGTCATGATCGTAGTGAGTGTCTTGCCGTAACCCATAGGGTCGGCGATGCAATGGCGCGCCACCCCAGCACCTGTCCATTTCTGACTTTGGCATGTTAGAAGGCGCCGGGGGAGGGGGGTAAACAGGTCAAATCTTCGTAAATAACATGAAGACGAGATAGAAGGCGGGCAACTGTAACAGATCCTGAAACCCGGTAATAGGCGATGATCGATGACCTCTCTAGATGAGCAGGGTTTCGGGTTCAAGGGCCCGCGACCTTTTATAAACAATCATCTATGCATAGTTAGTAATCAAAAGCGAATTTGCGAGAACATACTACTCACTGGTACCAGATTGATGTGGATGAGACCATTTTCAACATTCGTCTCTTGCACCAGTTCACCCGCTTTATCAGGATCCTTTATGCCATCCTGACAAGAACTGCTGAATAACCTCTTCTAAGTCTGACTCTTTGAGGTCAATGCCCATGTAAGGCTGTTCAGTGTCAACCTCCATCGGGCCCCAGCATTACACCCTCCTCTCTGTTGGTAAACGCCTCATAGATCTTCGAAGGCGTTGGAATCAGTTCTTCGACGAGCTTCTTGAATTCTTTATCGCCTGACCGTGCTAGCGACAATATGCTATCGACTTTGGCCCTGGCTTCTAGAAGCTTAGTCTCCAGCCCGGGTGGATGGTCTCCGTGAACTCTTCTCAAAGGGGCGTGGGAGTTGAGGAGCGCCCGGTAGGCTCTCCTTCTGGCTGTGTCATTTTTCTCTCTCGCTCGTTTTCGTGGCTTCCTGGGCAATTTGCTCCAGACATTTGTCCTTCAGAGCGACCGTTTACTTCTTGCGTGGCACTGTTCGGATTCGGCCTGAAATGATGATGGGATTGGTGAATTTCTTGGCGATTACCGCGTCGGTATGAGTGGTACTGGCTTGATACTAGGAAACGAGGGACCATGGAGTGAGGATCTTGGAGTTGTGTTAAATTTGAACTTCAAAATGAAGAGAGATGTTGACCTTAAAGTCGATCAATACCTTAAATGAAGTGAACGCTTTTTTGACGAACAGACCAGGAGGCGCAAAGATCTGGGTAAATGAGGGTCGCGTATGGACGGCTCGACTTGGAGCAAATGTGCTACCAAAAATTCGTTGGCACGCTGAGGAATTTCGTGGTAGGTCGAGAGTTTCGCCTTGTGGTTGAAATGGGAAGGAACGCGGAAGGTATCCTGAGCGTGAAGCGTGGAGGCTTGATGTTTTTTTTTTTTTTCTTTTTCTTTTTTTTCCTTTTTGGAAGACTTCGGCTTGGCAGAGGAATAAATGACTTAGATACGTACCTAGCTGGGTGCCTTACCGTCTTGTGCACTGAAGGCACCTAGGTGCCTAGGCGCCTGCCTGCCTTCACCCGGCGGGGGCATCTTGAAATGTCTCAGACGTAAACCTCATCCCGTCTCAGGGAAGTACATCGAAATGCCCATCTAGAGTGAGGAAAACACACGCCTACACATTTGGCTCATGACATTTCTGCTATAGTGGGGTCCTACCATCTAACGCTGATGATAAATGGCCGTAGCATTTCCTGTCTCGAGGGCACAACGGCATTCATCCTCCTGGACGTCACTCATATGCAAAATATGCTTTTGCTTCGCACGAGGCGGGCATTGCAGGCCTCACAACGTTTTTCACTGCAAATTCGGAGTGGCACGAGTGAACTAGCCCTCAAAGAAGAGGCATCGGGTGCGTAAGTCACTTCAGGATATTGAGTCTCTGTTTTTCGCTATCTCTTGGTAACTATAAGCAATCGTCGACGAGAGCCTTTCCTCGATGATCGAGAAATGGGCCGATCGCCATCTTGATTGACTTATCAGAGAGTGTCTAGGATCGCCATCTCTTGGCAACTATTGAATTAGGGACAAATAGGAATCATAAGCAATCGTCGACGAGAGCCTTTCCTCGATGGTCGAAGAATGGGCCGATCGCCATCTTGATTTACTTATCAGACTGCCCCGGAACTCCAAAACCTCGTTCGTGCCGTAACGAACCCACTGGGAAGCCTCCCTCAGAAAGCCAAGCGTTATTTGAACCGCCGTCATGCGAGAACACAACTGAACCTCACCCCCGAATACTGGCAACATCCAACTTTCTTGTCTCGGCCGGATCGCCCAACTAGGGACTGTAGATATCGTCGTGGATGAATAAAGCACTGTTCGTTCTGTCGTTCGTTTTGTCATTCTCTCGACCGTCTGCTTTGTCGTCGTCGGCATGTTGGTTGAGAAACGTTTCCCCGAAGATCTTGATCTCTTTGAGAGGATCTTCGAAGACAGCACTGTAAACGTCGCCCATCAAGGCTACTAACAGGGAGTAGGCTTCCTCTGCAATACGTGCAGCTTCATCGTAACCAATCGTGTCTGCCAACTTTGCGAGGACGTTGAAGTCTGGCGCGGGCGGCATGGCTGTTGTGCCGTTATTGGCAGCTGCTGCTCGGGAAGTGAGACGGGCCATCACCCTCTTGAACGTATCGACCATTATGTCGATCTTAAGATTGATGTGCTGCACCAGTTGAGTCGAAGTGAGGGATTTCAAGTTTGACTGGGTATGGCTGGTAGTCGGATACCCTGCAGATGCGCCCTGTCGGCGCAGAGTGTTCATCACCAGTCGGAGCTTTTGGCCCGTCGGTTTGTCGTCTTCTGGTAAGATCACCGTGAGAAGACAGAGAACCTGTCCAAGCTGGCCGTAGTGGATTGACATCTCATCTCGAGAGCTGACTAACAGTGTCGATAACTGTTGGATGAACTCCGCGGTGAAAATTGTCGCGTTGGGATCATTGAAGGCCTCGGGCCAGAGGGTCTAGAATAACAGGACCTTATTAGCACGTCAGTTTGAATCGTGAGGGAGATTCTCACCTTCATTTCATGCAGCGCAAACTCTGCATGCTCGATGGAGATGACCTCCTTGGCAAGCAGGAGCTTGCAAATGTGCCGATTGCTTTCAAAGAGAGGGTTATCCTCTCCAGTACGCCTCACCCAGTTCGCGAGCTTTGTCTTGGCACTCTGCTTTTCCTCCTGCGTCTGGGCTGACATTATCGCGTTCATCATCTGACTCAACTGGCGCAAAGCAACGTCTTTGTTAGTCGGCAAGATGGCAGACGCCCTGTCGCAGAGGCCGACGTCGCTCTTGCTGCTGCTGCCGGTGATCTCGTCATCGCCTTTTCCGGCGGACTGGTAGGGGTTCGATAAGTCGTCCATCGTGAAAGAGACCTGAAGGGGGCGTCAGAAGACATGATAACGAGAAAAATCCTTAGGTCTCTTACCTTGTCTTGATCTCTATGATATTTTGAATAGAGCCAATGCTTAAGAAGTTCTAGAGCACTATGTAAGTAGGCTCAGAAGGAACGAAATCTCTCCCAGATAGTTTTGGACGACACGAAAAGCGTGTCTATCGTCCAGAAAGCAACGAGGGCAGCGCAATGGAGCAAGTGACATGCAAGAAGCTCAATATTCAGGTGGTTGTGGTGGTGTTGTGAAATGGAAGAAGCGAAAATCTCGGATGGGCTAGGTTGCCTCGATGTGAGGAGGAAAACAGCCTGCGGCGGCGGACAGGCGGGCGAGTGGAGAGAGACAAAGGTGAAATAACACCTGCAGGCTACCCAATTTTCGACAATTTGGGAAGTAGCAAAGAAGTGCCCCCGACTGGTCTTGCCTTTCAACTGAGGTAGAGTGAATTCAAGTCTCTCTCGGGGTCAACCTACTTGACACCGGTACGTTTGGTTCCCATCACACCTCAGCATGCTAGCTACCTTACTCTTTACCAGAGGCACCGACTAACATTGTTTTGTTCTGCGTTTGTGCGTTTGTGCTTTTTTTAAACTGGAAATTCTTATTTTCCCACCAATTCAAGGGAGCTGAAAGCCAGCAAATTATTCTGGATTTCTGATCCTCTATTGTAGTTTTACAAATGAACCAACTCAATGAGCACCTACGACAGGGCCCATGTTCAAGTGATATGCACCCGGGTCCATTAATCAAATGGGCAGCACGTCTGCTACGCACTTTATAACAATGGATTACTGTATCCTTGGTCATTTTTTACTCTGCGATATAACACATGACAGATATTCCCAAAAGCATTGCCATACCTCTCGACAAGTCTTGAATCCACACTTGTCATGAACAAATGTTCAATTCGCTTGATGAAAAGTAGTCGTTCACATTCCTGCTCTTGCAGCACCCCATTCCTGATCTCATGACACCTCCATCTCTGTGACGTTAGTGCGAGTCGTTTTTGCGTGCTGATGCACTCGGTTACGATTGTTGTTTGAGCTTCTCCTTTCTCTTTCGGGCGCGGTATGCCTCCAGACTGATGGTTTTCTCTCCGTCTTCGAAGGCTCGCGAATTGACCTTCATCTTGGCCAAAGCCCTGTCGCGGCGTTTGGAGTTATAGGACTCCAGCTCTGCTTCTGATATGTTCAAGTTATCGAGCGGCTTCTCCAGGAAGGCCGTGTGCGTGCAAAGCGGCTCCCAGGATACCTCGTCTCTCGTTCACGGAAGCATGGTCTCCCAGAGGACATCTATTTCGCCCGCCTGCCCGCGAAGAAGACAAACGTCATTGTCGCCTTAATCGCAATGACTCTGACACGGGCCAGGGGAACTTGGCCATGAGGACCTCGTACATGTTGTTGGCAAACTTGAGCGGATGCTGGCAACGTCTCCCAGCGAAGGAAACGGACGTTATGACGGCCTTAACAATAACAATAGCGGAGACAACGACAGAGACGACGACAGAGACGACGACAGAGACGACGACAGAGACGACGACAGAGACGACGACAGAGACGACGACAGAGACGACGACAGAGACGACGACAGAGACGACGACAGAGACGACGACAGAGACGACGACAGAGACGACGACAGAGACGACGACAGAGACGACGACAGAGACGACGATAGAGACGACGATAGAGACGACGATAGAGACGACGATAGAGACGACGATAGAGACGACGATAGAGACGACGATAGAGACGACGACCAATCTAATCCTGGCCCAGGGAACGTGGGCGGCTGACGGGAGATCGTCCCAGCAGAGTACATCCGAATGTTCTCAGGATTCCTCTTCTCCTACGCGAGTTTCTCCTTGAGCTTCCGGGTGCGGTATGCTTTCAGACTGACAGCTTTCTCTCGGTCTTCAGCCGCTTTGCTGTTCTTGGCCATGTTTTGCTTAGCCCCGACGATATGAGCAGCGTTGTAAGCCTCCAGCTGCTCGCTGGACATCTCAACATCCCCAGGAGGCTTCTCTAAAAACGCCGTGTGGGCCGGCCAGCAAAGAACACAAACGCCGACACTGCCTCCACAGCCACAAGTCGGACTCGGGCGCGGGGGACGTGGGCGGCAGACGGCAGGACGACAGAGACGACGACGACAGACGACGACGACGATAGATGACGACGACAGATGACGACAGACGACGACGACGACAGACGACGAGTCGAATTTAGGCGCGGGGGACGTGGGCGGCAGACGGCAGCTCGTGCCAGCAAAGTAGGCCTCTATGAGTGATGGCATAGCTATCCTTGATAGCCTGTCGGACAAGTTGGGGGATGTTGGCGCCATCGACCTTGTCATAAGACTTTAGGCGGGTATAAACGCTCATGATAGCCTCAGTTCCAGACCCAATATAGAGCATAGCCGGGCAACCGTTCTTCTCTAGAATGAGAGCGTAGACGCCCCAAATGGGCTTGTCGCCACGGGCCGGAGAGGAAAGAAGACGGAAAAAGTCGAGGGAGGGGGGCGCATCGTCCTGAAGGACGCGGAGGAAGTGGTCAGCGAAGAAGAGAGGGTGGTCGTCGCATAAGGATTCAAACGCCATCCTCTGCACCCAGAACAGTCTTGAACACGGGGTTCAAACACCATTCCGGGGCATCGGGCGTGACGGCGCAGTGAGTCATGCCGTCGACGATCTCGCGAAGCTCTTCGACATCTTCCATCTTGCTTGAGTGAGCTGGATGATGCTAGTCGTCCTGGGCCCAAAGCGGAGACAACTATGGCGAGGCGAGTCGAGCCCATGGTCGGAATGGTATGGACGACAACGGGGGACGATAATGGGGGACGAAGAGGAAAGAACTGGGATCAACCAGAGGGGTTCGAGGATGCCATGGTGACGTCGGTGTGGTCCAAAGTCCTCTCCGGTATGACAGGGTAAAGCTCAACTGCAATCATTAGGAGAAGCACCCAGAATGTTTAGCTAGGTCTTTCTTACCTCGCATGGGGGAGAGAAGAGACTTCTGTCAGATGTCCATTTCTATCCAAGGTCACCACTGAGGGTGGAAGAAGTGCTTCTGGTGGTCGTCTCAATCTTCTGATAAGAGGAAGACTTCTGGCAGCCCTCGTGTAGACCAAGGAGAATGGCTGAGGAAAGGCGAACTGCTGGCGGTCGTCGTGCCCTTGATCGTAGGGAGGACACCTGGAGCGAGCCATGCCTCATGGCGATGATGTCTGAGGAGAAACGAGACAGAGCAAAGACAACAAGAAAAGCTTTTCTTTCTCCGAGTGCGGCAAGGGAAGCACTTGCTCGGCATTGGGTAAGTCCTGCCCTAGAAATAGAAAACACAACAGGTGTGGGAAAGAGCTCACCATGGATGGAAGGAGCCTTAGACTCCGGAGGAAGTCTCCATGTGCAAAATACCTCATTGGGAAAGAGCACCTGACCAACATTGGATTTGCCCTGCACTGGCATTGGAAGATATGTCAGACGCCTCAGTAGGAAAGAAGATCAAAATCGAAAGCGTCAGCCATGAATGGGCCATGAAAGGGGGAATCAGTTGCAGAAGAGGTAGGTTGTATCATACGTACGGGCTACCTTGTTTAGGTGGACGAAGAAGGAGCGGCGTCAGACTGAAATAAGGTAGCGCGGGTGAGGATACCAACTCTCGTCGCAGTGTTTCATTCTCTTTCAAACATTTACAACTTAGATTTGAGGGTCATGATATTGAAGGACAAAAGGAATCGAGGGCGTTAATTGAGTCTTGAGCTCTATTTTACAAGTGGTTCGACTGGAGATCCTTCCCCCAGATCGCGTCCCCTGGTGCTTCCCTCGGACCGGCGCAAACCCTCGAGATTTCCTCACGCCTCTAGAGGAACAAAAAACTTCGGTATAGACAGCTACATCAACCCCCCTGCGCTCCCAGTCGGACCATTTATTATGTCAGGTGAGACTTAAATTTAGCCCAGGAAGCTCTTGGTGAAGTTGGTGATGACCTCCTTGAGGCGGGCCTCAAGGTCCTTGCTGAGGGCACCCTCCTTGTCGATGGTGGCGAGGAGGTCAGACTCGTTGGTCTTGAGGTGGGCAAGGAAGTCGGCCTCCCACTGGAGAATCTTGCCAACGGGGACGTTGTCAAGGTGACCGTTGACACCGGCGAAGATGAGGGGAACCATCTCGTTGACGGCCATGGGGGAGTACTGCTTCTGCTTGAGGAGCTCGGTCAACTGTAGATGTGTCAGCTCAATATCAGTTCATGGGTATCAGTTTACAACTTACGCGTTCACCTCTGCTGAGGGTCTGCTTGGTGGAGGCATCAAGATCGGAACCGAACTGGGCGAAGGCAGCGACCTCACGGTACTGGGCCAAGAAGAGCTTCAGGGAACCAGCGACTTGCTTCATGGCCTTAAGCTGGGCGGCGGAACCGACACGAGAGACGGAAAGACCGACGTTAATGGCGGGACGGACACCCTTGTAGAAGAGCTCAGACTCCAAGAAGATCTGACCGTCGGTAATGGAAATGACGTTGGTGGGAATGTAGGCAGAAACGTCACCACCCTGGGTCTCAATGACGGGCAGAGCAGTCATGGAACCACCGCCAAGCTTGTCGTTCATCTTGGCGGCACGCTCCAGAAGACGGGAGTGCAGGTAGAAAACGTCACCGGGGTAAGCCTCACGTCCGGGGGGACGACGGAGCAGCAGAGACATCTGGCGGTAAGCGACGGCCTGCTTGGAAAGATCGTCGTAGATGATCAGGGAGTGCTTTCCGTTATCACGGAACCATTCTCCAATGGAGGCCTGAAGTTGAGATTGATTAGCAAAAGATCATCTTGTTGTTTGTAGATGGTGTTGGTGGTGTTGATCGTTGGTGATGGACCGGGACGGGACGGCGACGGGACGGACCCGGACAAAGTGGGGCCGGACAGCGGAGACAGAAACAGTGGTGGGGGACGAGGGTGGGGGACGACACTAATGACGACGACGGCAACGACGACGACAGGGACGAAGACAACGGCAGGTGCGGAGGGGGCAGGTGCAATGACAGTAGGTGCGGCCAAGGCGAGGCGCGACAACGGCAGGTGCGGTGGGGAGGTACTTACACCGGTGAAGGGAGCAATGTACTGGAGGGGAGCGGCCTCAGAGGCAGTGGCGGCAACGACGATGGAGTACTTCATGGCGTCGTTCTCCTCGAGGGTCTTGACGAGCTGGGCAACGGTGGAACGCTTCTGGCCGACGGCGACGTAGACGCAGTAGAGCTTCTTGGTCTCGTCGTTGGAGGAGTTCCAGCGCTTCTGGTTGAGCATGGCGTCGAGGGCGACGGCAGTCTTTCCGGTCTGACGGTCACCAATGATCAACTCACGCTGACCACGGCCGATGGGAACCATGGCGTCGATGGACTTGAGACCAGTCTGGACCGGCTGGTTGACGGACTTGCGGGGCAGAATGCCGGGGGCCTTGAGCTGAGCACGGCGCTTCTCCTTGGCGTTGAGGGGGCCCTTGCCGTCAATGGGGTTACCGAGGGCGTCGACGACACGGCCGAGCAGCTCGGGACCGACGGGAACGTCGACCTATGGTTCATTATTAGTTGCCGTCCGGATCGGCGGCAAGAAGTGGTCCGACTCACAATCTCTCCGGTACGCTTGACGGTCTCGCCCTCCTTGACCAGACGGTCAGAACCGAAGAGCACAACACCGACCTGGCCGGCCTCGAGGTTCATGCACATGCCCTTGACGCCAGAGGCGAACCTGTACAGCCGTTAGACGCGGGGATACCGGAAGGCGCATAAAGGGCGCTAAACATACTCGACAAGCTCCTCAGCCTGGACGTTGGCCATACCGTGAACACGGGCGATACCATCACTGTTTTCCAATTGTCGTCAGCAACAAAAAACTTTTTTCCCTGCGCCGGCGATGTTGACACGCGAGTCCTCGTGCAAGCTGATGATGCATTGAAGCTTTTCCGATGGGTGCTCGCGATGCCGAGATGTGCCGCCTAAACGTACCCGACGGAAAGGACGCGGCCGGTCTCGGCGAGACCAGCCTCCTCCTGGACACCACGAATTCTCTGCTCGAGGATAGAAGAAACCTCGGTCGGGGAAGCCTTAGCATCGGCGTATGAACGGGTCTGCATCGACGTGGCGTTGAAGACGGCGGGTGCGGCATTTCGGGCCTGAGGGTGAAAAACAGGTTAGCCGAAGCCCGAAAATGTTATGGGCTTCCCCCCCAAAAACAAGACGCAGGGCCAAGGGAGCTTGATGAAAAGCTCTTCCACAACACCACCATGCGTTCCGCGACGCCAAAAAAGCTTGCCGGGGTATAATTGGACATGGCGGAACCGATTGATGATGTTTTTGGATGGCATTGACGTCGTTTCGGGGATGGGGAGGTTGACGGATTGTTGAGGGTGGGTTGGACTTACGGCAGCGACTCTGCCAGCGGCAGAGACGGCGCCGACAGCGCGCGTCGACTGGCGGAGGGCGTTGCGGAACATATTAGGAGATCTTTGACACTGTCTAGATCGAAGGAGAATCAATTGCAACGGATGCAATTGAGTGGAGGGGAGATTGGGGTTGATGAAGGTGCCTTTGAAGGAGTGCAAATCGAGTCTTTTTTGGAAGAGGCCCAGTGGAGGGAAAAGAGAGTGAGGAATGGGTGGGCCCGGAGCTCTGCTGTCGGGCCAATCACGGTGGCCCGTCGAGTTTTGCCTCAGTCCAACCCGAGATCACCCTAACAATTTCCGACGAACAGCACGTAGCCCCGTAACCCCGTGAAATGCCTAAAAACGCCTTGAGAGCGTCGATTACATAAGACACCCGGCGCTGAAGCGCCCGCCGTTCAGTGCTGAAGCCCCCCGGAAGAGATTGCTGATGGATCTCATCCCAACCGAAAAAAAATGTGTCAATCTGGCTTTCCAGCGCGCGATCGTGCCCGTTGCCCACTGCCCATTGAGTTTGCGACAAGGTCCAATTGCGATGTCTGCTCGGTCCCCGAGCTCAAATGGCCCTGGTCAACCAACATCTAACCTTCCATGTCGAGATGGCTTCATGGTGCCAGCATTCATCTCATAAATCTGCATGCATGCTATGTCGTTAGTCTAGCTTCCCGGTCACTCCCCTCCTTCCCCGGCCTCGCAGGCGAAGCTCTCCACTGTGGCATTCCCACCCAACCTCTCGTCACCCTCCCTTGAGCGATGATTTCGCGTGCACTCGTTGAGAACCTGGAGGTCAATAGCCATGCATGCGCTGTGGGACGTGTCTCCGGCCGGCCGGGAACACCGAGCCTGACCGCCTCGGAGGAATGCAGAAAACCGAACAACCTGCGCATCATTCTGCCTGCCGTAACGGCCCGTCATCACCTCAAAAACATGCCCAGCATCGGCACGCGACAATATTTTCCCGTCGCGCAAGAAAAGCATGGGGTCGGTCGCCGTCATTTCTGTGTTGGTTTGACATCCCCACAACATTCACTGGCAGTCGCTTGCGAAGATCTGATAATGCAAGGAATCGACTAGCTTTATTGAGCTATGGGCAAACTAGCTAAACCACCAACGCCAGAAGCTGCTTCCACAGCTTGTCATCACTAAGAGGGTATACTACGCATTGTCATCACATC